ATGTTTTTTTTAAATTTTTTCCTGGCGAGTCGGTTATCAAGCAGGCGTGAACTCGCACGATTTGCGGGTGTTGTTCTCCGCTGACCGGATTATCTTGTGTGTCTGTTCCTTGTTTAGAGCCCGAAAAGTGTCATTTCCTGAGCCTCTGCCGTGCCGCGTAGATAAGCGCCCGGAGGATGTGTGTAAACCTCGTTTCTTGGCCACTGCCTGTATGGCAGACGCTTGAGCTATACTGTCCTCTTCAGATGATTATTTAGGAGTTGCTCCTCGAATAAGGTTCCTTAATATGTACGACTTGCCGTGGTCTGGCAGCAGAATATCTTCTTATCATGGGCTAAGTGCAACCGCATCTTCAGCAGCTGTTTTAAAAAGGGGTGAGAAAGAAAACAAAAAAAACTTCATTTCTGTAATGTCAAGGGAGCTGTGTGGATCCTGCCATCTGGCCCGAGTGTTCAGCGCCAACAAAAACCCAAACATAAACCCAAAAACCCCAAGAAAACGTGCAGCTTTCTAGGCCCCGGGGTGCTGAGTGTTGTCGTGGAGTGAAAGCAGCGCTGGCCTGGGGCTTCAGGTGCGAGGGCTGGCGAAGAGCAGCCGCGATGGGGTTCAAAAGTTGAGGAGTTGTCCTTTGCGCTTCCCAGGGACAGGGCACGGGGTTGAGATTGCTGGAAGCTTAGTGAGTTAAAATTATACCTGCTGGCTGACAACGTACGCTGACTTCCAGCTCCTCTTTCAGGCAGGACTCAGTCAAGAAGCTTTTGCTTGGGAGTTTCTTCAGGGAAAGGCTCTTGGGGATCTAGACACATCTTAATCTAAACCAAGCCGCTGGAAAGCAGCGTCTCAAAAGAGAGAAGAGAGGCTAGAAGGGAGCTCAGTCCTAGTTTTCCAACTATAAACAGGCCTCGGGGAGCAGAGTTGCAGCGGACCGCTCGTGTGCGGAGGCATGACGAGATCAGACCTTGTCGGGCACTTGCATGAACTTCTTCCCAGGGTGCTAACGCGCGTCTGGAGGAAGCAAAACCTCTTTTAATCTGTGCCCCACGCACACACATACTCGCTCCCCATTCCTGGTGGTGCTGCTCCCGGGACCCGAGCTGGTTCTGGGGGAGGACAGTGGTAGGGTGCAGGTCTGGGCTAGATGAAGCCCCAGCACTGCTGGCAGGGCTCAGCAGCTGAAGGGGACTTGTGTTTTGACTTCTGCCTCTGCCAGAGGAAGCAAAACCGGGCAGTGTCTTGAACTGCTTTGCATGAAAACTACTGCCTCTCTCTCTTTGCTTTTTTTAATTATTATTATTATTTTTTTTCCCACAACTACACTTCATTATCCAGCTTCTTGATGTCTTGGCCACAAGTCGGAGAGAGCTATCAATAGTACATTGTTGTACTGGGGGGTGAGGGAGGAGGGAAGGGAATAACAAAGCTGCCAACAGCTTTCTGGGGGTGGGGAACCGCACAGCAAAGTGCTTTGTCATGCCTCTAGACATCCACTACTACTGAATGCACACTGGTCCATTGATAGCCCCAGTCGTGCCGTGAGGAGGGACTGGATGAACACCAAACGCCACTGAGCATGTGTGCGGAGATGTTTCCAGTGCGCCCGCTTCATATCTTTTTCCCAGTGTGTTTAAACAGCCTTTTCTCCAAGCAGTGCCTGCCGTAGGCCATGGCACATGGGAATGCTGCTGAAGAGCCCAGGCTGGCGAACCTGGAAGAGGAGGAAGTATGTGGAGGAAGAATATTTGCGTTTCCTGTAGAAAGATTATTTTGGTACGAGATGGCAAGTGGAGTTCTTGGCAAATTCCGCCTGTGTCGTGGTTGCGTTTGCGAGTTGTCTTTCGGCGTAGGGAAATGCCACATTTCAGCAGTTTGTTTGCAGCCTGGTGCACGTTCCAGCAGCCTCTACAGGCGGTTCAGGCGCTTCTGATCGTGCAGCTCAGCGCTTGGGCTTTGGATGCTTATGCCTCTTCCCTCACGGAGAGGGATCGGAGTAGGAAAACACTGTCTTGGGAACGGCTCGAGTGAGAAGTTCGAGGACAGACAGTAAGTTGTCAGTACATCTGTGAGGGCTGTCCCTTGTAGCCTTGTTCCTCGTTCCGTGTTCTCGGATTCCCCTTTATTTTGGTGGTGTTTACATAGCTTTGCACTGGCGTGTTTCCTAATGGGAGCGCTGGGGACCGACTGGTTTCTCTGCGTTGCTTTTGCAGGCTTTGTCAGAGGAACACCGCTGCTGCGCTGTGTGCCTTGGCAAAGAGCTCTTGCGGTGCTGAGAAAGGGAGCAATGCTCCACAAGTAAAACAGTTTGCTTTCTTGAACTTCCTGAAAGCTAGGGCAGACGCTCAAGCCAGCGTTCAAAGCGATCCTGGAAGACCACGTGCAGGACAACCAACCAAACTTACGAACTGCAAGAGCAACTTATTTTCTTGCTCTTAAAAGTGGATCTGCGAGGTGAACTCGTAAGGTTTTGGGGTTGGGCTGGAGGGCACGCGGGTGACGTTTCGTCTGCGCGTGAAAATGTCGACTCGGACGTTGCAGAGCGCGTTGAAAACGTCTGAAGAACCAGCCCTTCCACTCCTCCTCCTTTCGAAAACGCGAAACTTAAAACCTCTTCCTTCTGGGTCCCGTTGATCTATTTGTAGATATTTGTCTGTAGAAGACGTGTGCTCATCTGGTCATGCGTTTCCAGCCATCTGCTGCTGGCAGCCTTCCAGGCGGCCCTTATTAGCATGAGGTTGCTCAGCGCTCTCTCTGGTCCTGGGCTGCAGAGGTTTGGTTTCTAACCAAATGCCACCGACTTGGGCAGCACGAGGGTTTTCAACGCTCGTGTCCGGGTGCCGAAGCCCTGATAGCTGCTCCTGGCGTGCTGTGGAGGAGCAGGGATACCCACGGCACGGGTACGAGTGCTCTGGGGCCGTGAGGAACTGAACTGTAGCGTCCGAAATGTGATCCCTGCTAACGTAACCTGGTGTTCTTTATCTTTTCTTTTTTTTCTTGCAGTAGTATTTTACCTTTGAGTAACTGTCCCCAGCTGCAGTGCTGCAGGCACATTGTTCCCGGGCCTCTGTGGTGCTCCTGATGCCCCTCACCCACTGTCGAAGATCCCCGGTGGGCGAGGGGGTGGCAGGGATCCTTCTCTTTCAGCTCTGATATATAAGGTGAGAAAGATCTGCTGTCTAAATGATGCCCTGTACCCATGTCACACCTGCGCTCGGTCGCTGTCGCGGTCTGGTGGGGATAAATGCAAATAACTCCAAGGTAATACGTGGGAGAACAGGTGATTTTTCAGCCGCCCTGTTGGCACATCCTGTCCTGCTGAAATATCCCGTTTCTTCAGAAACGAGAGGCCTTTTCTCCAAGATGTGCAGCAAATAATTCACAAGCCCCGCTGCCGGGGGCCGGTGTCAGCTATTGTGGGCGGAGCCAGCGTTATCAAAACGTGAGACAACTTCTTAAATGCCTCGGAGAAAGAGGAAGCGGGAAAGCAGAAAGGTGAAATGCAGAGAGACAAGGGCTGATAAGCTCCTTCCTGTGCCGTAGTCCGGAAGGTAAAGCTGGGAGCTGCCTGAACCGATGGGCAGCGTAACTCCTGACTTCACAAAAAGATGGGAATGTTTCTAGAACATGTGCGCAGGATGAGGCAAGATCAGGAAGGCTTTGTATCTGCAGAGTTACTTAGGAGAACATGGATCTGCGTAGCTCCCGTATTTTTGGCCCTCTTCGTTCCACGGGACGTTTCCTTTTGGCTTTGGGATGAGGAGACCTGGCTGTTCCCTGCTGTAGGATAATCGGCGCTCGTGCAGCTTTGTGCTGTGTTACGGGGGCACGCATCTGTCTCTGGGACAGCGTCAGCTTTTCCACAAGTTACTCCGCTCGTGGAGCACTTTCTCCAGGGAGTAAAGTGCTGTCGGATGAGGTAGCCTAAACCTGTGCTCAGCTTGCAGAATTGGCTGTTCAGACAGGATAGACTTGATTTCTAATGACCCTGTGGGAGGCACACGAACTTTCTGTGATGAGGAGATAAAGGCCCTTTTGGGTCACAGCGACGGAAGCCTCCTCGGGAAATTCGGGAGAGAATCGCAGACCTCGCTGCTGCCTTCAGCAGAGTTTTCTTTGGCGCAGTCTTGGTGAATTTTGGACATCGAGTCGGATTGTCACAGGTGTCAGAGGGGCAGGAAGTGCAGAGGAGCAGCAGAGAGGCAGCACAGTGAGCTTCCTGTCAGATAAAGAAGGTACATAAATACCTTCCAGAGGGGCTCAGGACAAACAGTGAATTCCCTCTGGGTGGAAAAATAGCAGACCCTGCAACCTGCACTCCTGCAGGCTGGCTTTCCCAAGCCTCGCGCGCGCACTAGGCGAGCTCCGAAGGTGGAAAACGGGCTCAACGCCGGGGAGATGCTGGTGGAAGGAATCACGGTTCGCAGGCTTTGAAGTGTTTGATTTCGGTACGGCCTCGAATTCACACGGAAGCTTTTGGCAGCGGTGTGCAGGCTGTCATCTAGATAGCTGCATCCCAGAAATCAGGATGTAATTCCTTCTGGGTGTGTTGCTGACAAACCCGAGCAGGATCTGTCAGGAAAACCAGCCCCTTCTTTAACACAGCTCGTCCCAGAGCAGAGTGACCTGTGTTGCCCGGTGGTTTGAAGTCCAACCTCAGGCAGGGGTTACTGGGACTCTGCCCCACTCGGTTGCCCGTTCGAGTTAGCGGTGCTGTCGTTAAACCGGGCTGAGCTTTTCAGCCAGCAAGCTTCAGTGTCGCCGCAGAAGGCATCTGCACCCAAAAGCTGAAGTACTTTTTTCAGCTCTGCCAGCTGGTCTAGTTGGAGGGATGACCTTTCTGATGGGGCCTGCCTCCTTTGGAGGGTGCAGCCCAGTGCTCGTGGACAGCAGCGCTGTAAATTAGCTGGAGCTCCCTGGAGTTGTTGGGATTTTTGTGTTGAAAGACTTAATCGTAGAATCATTTGGTTGGAAGAGACCCTCAAGATCATCGAGTCCAACCAGTCACCCTGCACTGTCAGGGTCCCTAAACCATGTTCCTCAACACCAAATCTACACGGTTTTTAAACACCTCCAGGGATGGGGACTCCACCACCTCCCTGGGCAGCCTGTTCCAATACTTCACAGCCCTCTCTGGAAAGAAATTCTTCCTGATCTCTAACCTAAATTTCTCCTGGCGCAACTTGAGGCCATTCCCTCTCGTCCTGTCATTCATAACGTGGGAGAACAGGTTCCCTTCACCTCGGCCCTTCTTCAAGGGAGCTTTACTTGAGCTGGGACGGCGCCGGTGCTGCGCGGCCGGGACGTGCTCGGGCTGGCAGGCTTGGCAGGAGGTGGCAGGTGTAGCACATGCCAACAGAAGGCTGCTTACGCGGCGTGCTCGACTCGCCTGGCTGTGGTGGATCATAACATCCTTTCTTCTTACACTGCCAGCGCGTCGGGGCCTTCCCCCCAGTCCTTCTCGGGACGTCCGAGGAGCGGAGCTGGGTTGCAAAGTCTTGTGCTCAGCGAATTGTAACCCATGGGAGCTGGTCCGTGTGGCTTTACTTGACTGGAACGGAGCCCGAGGCTGGAGAGCCGGTGGTTTTCGCAGCTGTGTGTCGGGGACAGCCTGGTGGGTTGGGTTTTTTCCCCACAGTAGCATGGTGGGGGGATTTTGCAGGGGTGAACTAAAACCAAACGTTTGTTGCGTAAACAGGATTTTGCTTTGAGCGGCTTCCAAAGAATTCTGGGCTGCTGCTTCACAGGAACGGCCTCTCTCCTCAGCACCTCGCCGTCTCTTTCGATGCCTAGAAATAAAATACCGTAGCTGCCCAAGCTGGGCTGTGCAAACGTCATTCCCACTGCACCAGGGAAACTGGTTCTCCGAATCCCTGTGGTTTTGCTGCCTTTGGTTCACGGGCCATCGCGTTACGGGGCTTTTCAGTGGAAAAACCTCGTTAGGTTTGGAGCGCAGGGTGTGACTTCTGGTGGCAGAAGGGCTAAGCCAGAAGGCTCGGAAAGCTTTTCCCCTCCTATTGCAGGCTCCCCCTCCAATGTGTCAGTCCAAGCCTGCTTTTTCCAACTTCCTCAACCTGTTTTTGTTTTCCTGAAGTGTAAGAAAAGAAGCATCTGTGAGCTTTTCTTGAGAGAAGGATCTTTTCTGAAGCAGAGACACTTTCTGCCTGGCAACAACAACTGCAAAAGGCTCCTGTAAAGTCCCTGGTGAAGGATGTGCATGTAATCCCCTTGGTTTGGGGCTTTTTTTTTTCCAAACACACCTCTGCAGTGCAGAGCTCTCAGCTCAAATCTGCCTCTTGCTGCCGGCTCCGCGGTCTGGCTGAACTTGAGCAGCTGTTGGTAGGTTTCTTAGTGCACTTGGCTCCAAACCGTAGTAAAACCCCGACAGCAGGCGCAACGACAAAAACTTCTTTCAAACTCGATGAATAAACTTATTTCCTACAGGATATTTATTCCGATGAAGCGTAAACTTGTTTTTCAGCTAAGCTCTGTGGGCTTTAAATAACTGGCATCTTCCTCTGCTCTGGTTACCAAAGCCAGGCAGTTCCTGATCTGCACGCGGCGTTACTTCGTCGCCAGTGTTGACACACTCGATGGCTTCTTCCTCGTCACGATAGTCAAGCCATAAGGGATCTGTTTTAATCCACGTGGTGACAGGAATCACCGTGACACAGGGCTGAGGAGCCTGGAAGGCGCTCGGAGGTGCTTTTGCTGAACTGCTGATCTTTCAGCGATGCTTGAAAGACCTAGAAGAGAACATCTGCTTGAAAAGCAGCGACGCTGTGGAGTTTTCCACCCTCTTACTGGGCACTGTTGGCTGCTGGTGTGTTTGTACTGCCCTTTTCATAACTGCTTTTTCACTGCAGATCCAAACTGGCCTAAATTTCCTTTGCTGTTACGGTCTGAGATGAGGATGTATCACTACAAAGCGTTTACTAAAGATTGGCTGGTGAGGTGCTGTCTCTGCAGTGTTGTCGCTCGTCTCGTTGTCAGTCCAGCTGATGGTCAGCAGATCAGAGCTCGTAATGAGCTGCTGAATTAATCACCCTGTTAAAATAAAATGCCTGGAAGCAGGACGATGGCTCACCTAACGACCCGATGGAGTAAACCACCTCCCACCCCACCTGTTGATGCCAGTGATGAGAGAGGGGCACATGGCTTTCCCAGGCATTCCCTTGACTCGAGAACAGAGCGGACTTGGCTAGTGTTGGCTGGTTTGCTTCTGCCCTTCAGAGCTGTGCAGGTGACTTCGTAGTGTGATGCATGAGCCTGGAACCAAGCAGATGGGAACGGTTCAGCTTCTGCTGCCGTTGACAGTGTTCACTCGGGAACCTAATGAATTCCTTTGCTGTTTCGGAGGAGCTCTTTGCAGTGAAATGTGGAAATCGTTATTGGGCAAGCCAACTGCCTGCAAAAACTGTCAGGAGGAGGAATAGAGTTTAACCACAAAATTGTTTTTGAGGAACTGCTGAGCTGAATCCGAGGCGGCCTGCAGGCTTGGCACTCTAGTTGGAGCAGTGTTGGAGTGGGCCGTGTACATTTGTGGTCTCTGGAAAAGACCTCATCACAATCTTCAAATCCATGTAGCTTCTCTCCGTTTTGGGATTCTCTCCGCGCTATGTATTTTCCTCCCTTAAACCAGGAGGCAAACAATTTGCCATACCAGTTGGTTGTAAAATCTGGGAAAGCAATTTGAGGTCATCCTTCAAAGAAAAAGCCTGTTGGGGACTGGGGGGAGACAACGAAACTGGTCAGACTGTGGCAGCAGATGCTCTTCCAGCTTGTCCCTTCAAGTTGTGCTCTTGGAAGGGTGGTCCATGAACTGCCCTTCAAAGACGTGCCTGGGACCTGCGGGGAATGAAGGGGCTCTCACTCCCCAGAAACCTAATGTGATGGAAATACGCAGAACCGCGCTCCCGTGAACAGGAAAACAAGGCTGGAAAATCCCGCTGAGCTGTCAGGGAGCATCCCTGAGCCAGTGAAAGGGGAAGGGAACAGGATAATGGTTGTCTTGGTAAAACTAATACCATTTATTTGGCATTTGCATCTCATTATAAACAGCACGGGGAGTACAACTTTGTTTTTCTTTATTTTTGTGTTAGGTTGGAATAAAAAGGAGGTAATACAGGTAGAACAATAGCTCTTAACCACTTCCACGCTTGTTCAGAGCGCTGAGACTCGGACACGAGCTTGCAGACACCTTTGCGTGCCCTCACGAGCCACGGCGAGTCTCACGGTGGGGAATTTCGGTGATGGGCAGGAATTCTGGATGGACACTGGTCTGTAAGGGCTGGTCCTTTTTCAGGAGGCCGCTCCCACCGAAAACAGTCCCTTTGCATGCTTGCTCGCTTAAGCACGGTCTCTTATGTTGTTTTTTTTTTTTTTTGTCTACCATCTTATGGGTAGTTTTCGTTAACCCCAAAGCGTGTTTCACGAGCTCTCCTCCCTCCCCTGCCCAGGACGAGAAGATCACTGTTAACCAAGATGTCCCAGTGCACGAAGGGAAGCCTCACATTGTCCACTTCCAGTACAAGGTCACAGAGGTGAAGACCTCCTCCTGGGATGCAGTGCTCTCTAATCAGAGCCTCTTTGTGGAAATCCCTGATGGATTATTAGCTGATGGAAGCAAAGAAGGGTGAGTTCAGGATCCCGGAGCTGCGTCCGCGGCTCACCAGGGAGCAGGGCTTTGCTTACGTGGGTGATGCTGTGCGTGTGGGGAGAATGGGCTGTATGTGCCTTTGTGTGTCTGAAGTGTGTCCTTGCTGCTTTGTCTTCAGAGAATTCTCCTCCTGTTAGTCCTCCATGTATTTTTTTTCTCCCCCCTCGGTGATCATTTCAGATGGGTTACTGGTTTTGAGTCCCTGTGCTAATGAAAAACAAGCAATAAACGAGCAGAGTCATTCTTTGCATACTTTGCTATGGAAAAATCTACAAGCCTTTCCCCTTTTCTTGTTTGTGTTTTGGTTTTTTTTTTTTTTTTTCTGCTGGCCACTTGGTAAGCTTATTTTGGCAGGCATTTTCCTCTTTCAGGGGGGAAAAAAACCCCACCTCCATTATACTGATGCGCTCCTTCTCGTCAGCCGGCAGATCTGCTCTTGGCGTGCTGCCACGCAGGCGTTGGGCTTGGCCAGAATCTCTGATTTTTCTCTCTTGGCAGAATACGGTAGTGTTTTGTCCAGACAGCTCTTCTCTGGGAAGTTTGTGTAAACGCAGCTTCCAGAGCAGCTACTTCCTGCCAAGTGCTTTGCCAGAGATCTTCCTCCGCTGGCGGGGAGCACTGCAGCCTGGATGTGGCTTTAGTGGATTCCTCTGCAGAGCTCTCTGAGGTCCTCCTAAACCTCCAAGAAGGCTTCACCCGTAAATGCCACAAGCTAATTAAGAAAGAAAAACCTCGTTGGGCATCTTCAGTGAGTGCCAGTGCTCGTCCTGTCTCACACTTGTCCCATTTGGATCCGAGTGCGGATCAAGGTCTGTGTCATTTCTTCAGCCAGCCCGTCAATCCTTGAGCTGTCTCTCAGGAGCAGCTCTGCAGGGAGGGTGTTCACCCACCTGTGTCGTCCTGGCAGGAAGCACAATTTTGTCGGGTTGTTTTGAGCCAGGTAAAACAGCCTGGCAGAGGCTCTAATTAAAATCGTTCATTACCGTATTAAAACCCTTGGAAATTTATCTCCCCCGCTGCACTCCGGCCCCGCTGGCTGCTGTTTCATTCCGTGTGGGTTGAAGCCCAGTTTGCCACCGCTCTCCCCTGCCTCGATCCCCGGGGCTGGGAGAGGGGTTGACGCCGCGCCGCTTCCAGCAAGAGGTGGCAGAAATAATTTCGCCGGAAAGGCAGGAAGCGCAGACTCGGGATGCGGCAGCTGTGCCATCCAGCTGGTGCATGCAGGGAAACAGCTTTGCCTGTGCACGTGCTCCTTCGGTGGTGTTTTTCCCTTCTCTTCTGCCTGGCCTGAGCTGCTTTGGTGGTTTTTTCCTTCCCTTAAAGGGCAAAGCCTCCAAATCCCTTTGTGTATGTTGCCAGCGGAGAGGGGGATATATCCCAGCTTGGCATCAGCTGCCATGTCCAGCTTCCCTCGTGCAAAGGCTTCTGTGCAAAGTCACTGATGGGCGCTCGTGCACACTGGCATGCCCAGGACAGGGACTCGTTGGGTGGCTGGGGGTGAGGACAGCTCTTGGTTCCGCGGGGCCCAAGCAGGAAGCCCATTGTTTCAGCGCCCATTGTTCGCTGGAAGGGTCTGTAAACAAGTCGTCTTTCTGCCTGAAAACATCCCAACGGTTGAGAATGCTCAGAGGCTTCCTCAGGACAGGACTTCCTAGAGCTGATGTTGTCTTCTTCCTCCTTGGCAGGTTGTCGGCGCTGCTGGAGTTTGCTGAAGAAAAAATGAAAGTGAACTACGTCTTTGTTTGCTTCAGAAAAAGCAGAGAGGACAGAGGTGAGAACTCGTCCCCGCGGTCAGGTTTGCTCCCTAGATCTAAAACAGCGCTGCTGAAGCTGGACAGAACTCTGGGAATCCCAAGACGAGGCTCCGCGGGACGCTTCCTGCTGCAATAATTGTTATGTGTGTAATTCTCATGGTGTTCTCACAAATCAGAAACAGTTTCTTGCAGAGGAGGCTTTCTTGAGACTAAGGGAGAAGGGAATATTTTGGTTTCTCCAGCTTTGCTGTCCTGCTGTTAAATTATTCCTAGTAGTCTCATGCAGGAAGCTGCTTCTGGATTACCTGGAGTATTTCTTTGTCCAGAAATGGGTTAATATTTCTCCTTTGGTGCGGAGCCAAGGTCTCCATTTGGCACCAGGCTTCTGTCATTTGGCAGGAGAAACCAGGGAGCAGTTACTCTGTAGGAAAGGACCACTTGTAGCTCGTGGCCCTGACACTCATCTGCTTTTTAAAGATCTCCCGGCACTTCTGCCCTTCCTGGCCCTCCAGGTAATCCTGACCCTGGATATAGATGCTCATGGCTTAAGGGGGCTGCCTTAGGATCTAAAGATAGACGTGTCGGATGAGCGGTGACATCACGGAAGCCTGAGGAGATTTGTGGTGAGGTACCGAGCTGTGCTCGTGTCACTCGAACCTTGCTGGACACAGGCTCGTAACGCAGCCATCGCTGTGGCAGGAGTAATTCCAACCGGAATTCTAATTTTACTCTGCTGCTTCACAAGCTGCACTGTCTTCTCCAAAACGAAGCGCGTCCTTCGAGCCAAGCTGAGCCCAAGAAGACGTCGTTCGGCACCACGATGCCAAAAATTGTCAGATTAAGTTCTTGCTGTAATACCACCACCGCCACGGGTCGCGCAGGAGACCTCCGCGGTGGCCGCTTACACCCGATAGTGGGTTTGGGTTTTAAAAATGGGCTGCGTGTTGCTCTTGGCTTTTTTGTGTGAGTTCTGGAGCGCTCCAGATCCTGGGTCCTTGCCAATGCAGCTGACATTCGGTGCTGTCCTGAGAATATATAGGAGCTCCTCCGCATGACCGTTCGGTGGCTTGAAGCTGACCGTCGGAGGATGCCGTAGGGATGAGCTGCTGCTCCAGGGTAACTTTCATAGGGAAGTTGTTTGAGTAACAAGCAAGCATGCGTCCAGTCCCTGGGTCTGACTGAGGTGATGTAGGGGGTTCTGGACTGACCCCGCTCTGAATTTCTGGGCGTGAGCCATGGTGGCTTTCCTGGGGGACCGCGCTGAGCGGCGCTGAGCCGTCTGGAGTTTCCACTGAGCTCCAGGTCCTCCTCACGGAGACAGCAAACGCCTACCTAGACCTTGAGTAAGTAGATTCCTGTCTGCTGCTGTCTGAGCCACTCTCGGGGCTCAAAGGGTGCCGAGAGCAGCCCCCCACGGAAGCACAGAAAAAAAACTTGGATGTGCTGCAGGATGGCCACGCGCGTCCCGGTGAGGTGGGGCTGTGCAGGTCAATAACCGACCGTCGCTGTTTCTCAGAGGGGATAGAACAGATGTGGCGTGGGCGAAGCTGCTCGGCTGCACAACTAAAATCCCCTTTGTGCTTTGGAGCAGCTGTGAGGAACGCAGGGAGAGACGAAACCACCTGTTTGAGAGGGCTGTCCTGTTCCAATGGTTTCTTTCTCTGCAGGAAGCCCTGGATGCGCTCCCAGAGGGCGTTCGGCACGCTTCGATACCCATGGCTTCTAGGGTGATGCAGGTTAAGAGGCTTATTCCTGGTGGTAACGGATTTCCTTCTCTTTGGTAGCTCCACTCCTGAAGACATTCAGCTTCTTGGGCTTTGAAATCGTGAGGCCTGGCCACCCCTCTGTCCCGTCGCGGCCGGACGTGATGTTCATGGTGTACCCCCTGGATCAGAACTCTTCCTCTGATGAAGAATAGCTGCAGCGGGGGACTCCAGCGTGACCTGGAAACGCCGCTGAGGGGAGAGAGGCTTCCATCTCCTTTCTTGAGGAAAGGGAAGACCAGCTTCTGTTGGACTGAAACTGCATTTCTCATTGTTAGATTGGCCTGTGTATCCGCGGAGTTGGCTGTCTCATTGAAACGTGTTGCCTAGAGAGCTTATCCACACACATGTAATCACCACGTAGTAAGTGGAAGATGTTTAGGAACTGGCACAGGAGCTCCTTCCGTGCCGCCGCGGGGTGCGTTAGCCCGGGGCCGCCTGGGGCAGCACGGCGGTGGGTGCGGTCCCAGCTCCGTGACCTCTCCGAACCCGTGGCGGTCCCGTCCCCGTCGCCCGACGCGCGCCCGTCTGACCGACTGCCCTTTTGTCTTTCCACTCAGACTCTTAATTGAACAGGAGGCGTGTTTCGGGTGTTGGGCACGCGGAGGAGACGTGCTCCAGCTGAACCTTGAACACTACACTCAAACCCTGGTGCGTCTCTGCTCTGGGGCGACCGATGCTGGTTTAACTGGTCTAATCTTTTTTCCTTTTTTTTTTTTTTTTCCCTCCCCCCTCTTTAAACTTCTTGCTCTTCCAGCTTTTGTTTTAAGCAGTCTTAACTCTGTTCGATGTTACCGCTGCACTATCCCGGCGTTCAATAAAAGGGGCATTGAGATGAACTTCCAACAGCTGAGGCTGCTTCTTGGAAAAGAGCAGAGCCTGGGGTGGGCCTCCCGCAGTGCCGTGACGGTTTCCGAGGGTCAGCGGAGCCTTCGGAGCAATACCTGGCAGAACGCTTCCTTACCTGCCTGCGGTGTGATGGTCCAAGAGAAAAGCTCACGCCTTTATCCTCCGCCACGGGATGGGTAAGGAGCGGGCCCGGGGCTGTCCCCTCTCTTCTTCCTCCTCACCTTTCCAAAGAGATGATGTCAAGACACCGCGCGAACGGCTGTATCCAAACCAAAGGGGGTTGCGTGGGTGGGGCAGGTGCTGATGGCAGCTCCGCAGGTCACGGTGGGACCCCCTCCCTATCCGGGGGCTTTCCCGGGATGGGGCCGGTGCCGGCGGGAGCTCATGTTTCCACCTTGCCCCTTGTAATGTTGGAGAATGAGGCTGTGCTCTTGTCTCTGTGCCGTGCGGATGTGACCTGCCTGGCTTTCCTTGGCAGGCCGCACCAGAGGGGTGTGTTTACGGAGCGTGCCCCGGAGCCGTGCCGTGAGCTCTCCTCCTGGCCTGGCTGCTGGCGGGTGGAACTGTCCTTGCGTGCTTTGTTGTGCTCTCGCCCTGCTGGGGAGGATTTTGTCCGAGCCATTCCATAAACGTCATGATCAGTGTTTTTCTGTTTGGGGGAAGAGAGGTGGGGCCGGGACACGAGTTTGTGTGAA